AATAATAATAATAATAATAATAAGGTTTTAGGCCCTACTAAGTACCATCAATTACTCCAAGATGTCTTTTTTGTCCGTCCACTTCAACTAGGGCCATTGCCTACTGAGCATTTTGCTGGTGGTCAGGATACAGATTGTGTTGTACTGTTAGGTACGTAATCTGTCCTAGCAAGCGCGATGAGGGTTACTAAATCTCACAGCAAATCTGATGCTTCGAGGTGCAGCATGTCGCTCAGAAGTAGCAAGCAGACTGTTAAGTCCGCCGGGTTCCAGCGAAGCTCTCCATCTACGCGAGAAAAACGACTTAGCTATATGGATCTTGAAGGAAGACCCAAGCCTACAAGAGATAAATACTCGACTTCGAAGTTTGCGAAGGGCTGTAGACCTTCAGAGAGAACAGCTGCTGGACGCTAGTGGAGCAATCGAGGAAGCGACTACCGATATCAGCCGTTACGTCCGCACTACTATGGGAAATGCTCTGAAAGCTGGAGACAATCTCACAGAAGAGGTCTTGAAGCTAGATACATGCCATGAAGTCAAACGCCTAAACGTCCGGATTGCAGAAGACAGCCGGACAGCGAGGGAACTAGCGGATGCTGATGATCTGGACCTGGAGCGCGTTTCCTCTAGCAGCACACAATTTGAGAATATGGAAACTTATGGCGAATCTATGGAAAATTTGCCTGATGGCTATTTAGAATTCGAGGATGACGAGTCTGTGGCTTCTGCCAGAACAGTGTAAGAGCAGATGCTCTACGTGGGAGACGTCTTAAAACTCGAAAACTTCACACAAAATACCGATGCAATATAATTTCATTACCTTCAGCTAGATGCTTGGATTCCCATTCTCAAAGCTAAAAGAAACTACATCTCTGATAACTTGTATGACTATAGCCATCGGCGCAATCCTGCCGCCTCCGCTGGGTCTACCTCCGCAAATGACGAAAACTCTTGTAGGTCCAGCGTACTTCCTAGAAGATCATGGTCCACTTGTGCTAAGTCGTATTCTGTTAATGGCAGATCTAGTTGCATCGAAGGCGCCATGAAGCTACTCCATTGAGGCTCACTTGCAGCAAAGCTTAGAAGTGATGAGGTTTCTGGCTGTGATTGTGGTAGAGAAAAAGTAGGTGCGGTGCTCAGCAATGTAACCTGATGCTGCAACTGGTCGGAAGTGGTTTCCACGCACACAGGGAGTGTATCAACATATGCCACAATGTCTTGTAAGAGTGGGCGATCGTCTCCCGGGCCCCGTGCCGGCAGTACTGGTATGTTACGACCAGTTCGAATGTATTCGTACAACGTTTGTACTGTATCTCGTAACCTTTTGTTCTGCTCCTCGAGGAGAACTACCCTACATGCAATGTAAGTCGGCTGAACCCACCACTTCCCTGCTCCTAGTGATACTTACATAGATTTTTTATCCCGCTGGTGGTCCGCATCTAGGCTGTAATCACATAATACATTGTCTTTTCGGCATTTATTGCATACACGCTCCCCATCACACAATATTAAGGTAAGTCTTATACCCGATCGTATTTTCAGTGGCTGAACTCACTTTTGTTTTCTTAAATCGGCATCGATTGCATGCCTGCTTCACTCGTTGCCTAGACCTTTGCATTGTGTCCGGGATCATCTGTAAGCGCGTATCGCATAATATGCAAGAAATCATGTAGGGGCATTATATGCGCCCAACGCAAACTTATGATCGTAGCTGCGTCGCAGTGCTGTGCCACAATCGTGCATGTGGCGACTTGCTAAGAGTTGGGATTACGTGGTCCTTGAAGTGAATACTACTGTGCCACAGTTGATAAGAACATCAGCTGGCTCACCTGAGACGCTACGGGCATATGTCGGCTTAATAAATGTGATAATGAATCATTTGACAAAAGTTAGAATCAAGAATATTTGTCAAGCAAACAGGTATGCTGTCGCCTTGGCTAATCCAAGGCACTTTGATTGCCACACGTAATGCAAGAAGATTCAGATTATTTGCTATTGAGCTGCTTCGAAATCCAAGTCTTGCTATTCTTCTTGCCATACACATAGTATATGTCATTAGGTTGCTTGGATCTTTTACGGCGATGCAAGATCTGAGAGGGATTACAGAGCTTAAGTAGCCCACCCCTATCGAGTAAAGCGAACAAAGGCGCGTCGCCCTGCGCTTGAATAGTGTTTACTACTTTCTCAATATTATATTCAGTTACATCGCATACATGATTCGCCTGGGGAAGCATATTTCGACTCTGGGGCAGATGCCAGAATGTAATGCGGCCACCATGGGGCCTAGCCAGATAATCCGGATATACGGGCACCGAGTAGACAGAGGAAGAACGCAATGATGGTTGGCCCGGTTGGGCCGGCTGGGCCGGTTGGGTCGGTTGAAAGCTTTCGCAGATACTGCTGATAGATGTTGATCCAAATCTCTCAAAGAACGACATGGAAACCAACACAAGCATTCCGTATTCTGTCAACGCGTACCTCGGCTCTTGAGTAATGGCGGTCCATATTGTGGGAAGAAATAGCTCGGGGTGGCTCTTAGGTATCCTTATAGTAGTCGCACTATCGGTCGTCATCAATGGAGTCAGAGCAGGCAGGCGAGGCTCAAAGATCGCTTGGCCAGTCTGACGGGAATGAGCTTCTGTCTCGAACTTATCTGCAGACGCAGAAAACAGATGATTTGGTCGTTCTTGAAGCATGTGAATGCGAATCTGTGAAAGATCTGGATCTTGATTGCATAGAGAAGAGATTTCGGCAGACGCAAAACCAAGTCTACGTGCAAAGTGGCCAAGCCGAATGATCCATTCTGGACGCTCTAGTTGTTCCCTTTGGCTTTTTCCTTCGTTGTAAGAATTCCATTGGCTTCTTGTGTGGCGAAAAAGATAAAGACAGAGTTGCCAGTACGCATATTTTCCGGGATTGCTACATTCAAAGAAGCGCTCATCGTGTTCACTGTATTGCAATAAACATTGTTGCTTATTTTCCTCACGCTGCTCGTAGCAATGCTGAAGTAGAATGTCTCTTACTGAGGGAAGACGTCTAGATACTGGGCTGAATTCGTCCCTTCGAGGGAATAGCTCACCCACTGGGAACAACTCTCTTAGAGGAAGCATAATCGGTCCTAATACCTTGACGTGTTTAAAAAACGTCTGGAAGTTTAAGATGAGCCCTTCGACAGTAAGGACTCTTTGAAGTATCTGAGCGCGTACAGCAGAATCGCGTGCGCGATAGAAGACCTGACATGTAGCGAACAAGGTCTCGATCGTTGAACGATCGCGAGAACTCCATAGAGGCGCAAGGCCCCCAAGCTTCTGGGCAGTGTATTCATCACAGAGGTGGGTGTTTCCATCTGTAATTGTATGCCAGATCTCATACATCTGGTTCAGATAGTATTCAATTTCCTAGAGAAGTAAACGATCCGAGTCACTTTGGTTTTAGGGGACCTGTACCTGTCTGCACCGCCAGCTCAGAATCAACGGAAAACATCCAAGCTGAAAACCCATCCATAGGGAGCGAAACGGCTCTAATTTTTCAAGACAGTCGCGAAGCCAGTCATTACGCAGAACTTGATGAAGGCTCTTCACCTTGGCCCCCAGTAACTTCTTCCACCTTAAAGCGACCTCGTAATCTTTTTTACGTTCATAAAACTGAATGTGAAGGAACTTTTCTCCATCACATAGAGGCGCATGTCGCATGTATGACTGGCGAATCTGAACCAGCGCAGATGTAGGTGCGTCTATCTACTGCTCAGCAGCTGATTTCATGGAAAATCGTGATTCTCTTACCTGAACTGTAGAGATCCACGAGCCACCAATCGTCTTGATTTTGCGATCTATCTCGTTTCGCAGTCTCTAATCGAAATCGGCCGTGAAGGCATGGTAACTGAACATCACCGGAAAGAACAAGCCTGGGCGGATATCCAACAGCATAAAGCGCATGCTTGGAGATACCTGCTTCATCCAAGCAGTTCTGGTACTCAGAATACCCAATCAAAGCCGGTAAATTATGTTCTACATCAGATATGCAGCAAGCGGTATGTGTATATGTATTGATGTTTGTAATATATTCTTATTCACCTAGATATTCTGCTGCGTGGGACTAATAAGTGTTACTTCTCTCCCCATCTTCCGTCATCATGCATACGAGATCTTCCGGGTCATTCACATCAGTTGCTCGACATCAATATGCATATTTTTATGGCTTCATGTTAATATATCAAATAAAATAGGCCGATTGCAAGTCATTGTAGCAACATGTATATGGATAGCGACGTACTGCCATAGAAACTTCCTCCTTATATATCGTAACCTTTCAGTAAGCAAGCCCAACACAAGTGTGTCTGTTGAGAACTTCCACAACACTCTCCAAATAAAGGTCAAAGTGCCCAGGCCTTGGAAAATTCAGCCCGGCCAGTATGTCTACCTTACTATGAGGAGACCCGGATTTTTCTCTATATTGCAGCGCCACCCTTTCATGGTAGCAGACTCAGAATCAGACGACCACGACTTCCAATTGCGTATTCAACCTAGGGCGGGTTTCACCAGTCGACTCCTTACACAGACCCTTTATAGAACCAGGGAGCTTAGTGCTTTCATAGAAGGGCCCTACGGGCAAGGATTCGACCTTCGAGACTTTGGTACAGTGGTTCTATTCGCTAGTGGGATTGGGATTGTTGGCCATCTGGCCTATATTCAAAAGCTCATACGCGACCACCAGCAATCAAAAACCAAGACAAGAGATATACTCCTAATCTGGCACGTAGATGATAAGTATCAGCTGGATTTGGTCTGGGAGGTTATGAATATTATACTGAGAAAGGATGATCTTCCAAGCACTGCAACGCACAAAGATACTGGTATTACGTCCAGAAGCGGAAAGAAAGACCGATACTTGGGCGGTAGTACCACCGGAGAAAACCCAGGAGTGCGACCTGCACCGCATGGAGACAATGCAAGTTGTAATGTGACGATATAGTTTTAGCAAACGCTAATGCTTCCAAGATTATAGATGTTTATATCTACGGTGACTACGAGATATTCAATGAGGCCGGGAATGCAGTATCATACAGGCGGACAGGCAGTCGGATTGCTGAGGTAAAAGGAAAGCCAGATGTGCGGCAAATTATCAACGATGTTCTAGAAACAAGAAATGGAAGACTCGTAATCTGTGGTAAGAATTTTCATTCACTGTCGCTACACTAAATAACCTGAGCAGTATGCGCACACTGGGAAATGAGGTGCCAGGCGCGAGAACGCGTTGCTCGTACCAGCCATAAGCAAGTGAGATATCTGGAGCTAGATTTTCAACCATTTGAGCTGAGGCGGCACAGTAAAAGAAGACACTCTTTGCCAATCCAATGCCGTGGGATCGAAGGTGCTTAGATAGAAATGAATCTCAAATCCACCCGTCCATCGACATGGTAGTTTTTTTTGGACTCTTTGATGCTCTGTAAGGCGCTATGAAAGCTTCAAATGCTTGTTCCTGGTCGTGGCTGAATTGATCTACTGCATCTGAGACTGCGTTGGAAAGGTCTCGGATCTCGTCGAAAGCGATTCCATCAAGTAAACCAAGAATGCATGCTTGCAGTAAGTCTTGAGAGATTCTGTCAATCTTTTCCTTGAACTTTTCTGCGTGCCGGTAACATTCCCGGTAGAATGTAAGCTCGAATCTAAGTTCCCCATTTCTGCGGTTGAGAAAATCGATGTACTGAACCATGTCTTTGGGCTGCTTCGACTTTTGCATATAGTGAGGTTCCATTTCTATCGCGATCGTCATACCACCACAGCATCTTATAATATGGTCAATGTTATTAACTTCGAGAGGCCTTCCACGAGAGAGCTTTCTCATTGCTGAATTCATAATAATATGTGAAGCTGAATGGGAGTCAAGTGGTCTTAAGTTCGCTGGGTTAGCGCAGGTACAAATGTGCGGACGGGTTTTTTATATTAAGCCTGCAGCAAGCGCCTAGCTCACAAAGTCTCAGCTAATATGGATTCTAGGCGACTGACGATCTTTCCAAGGGCGACGAATGGCGTAGAAAACGCAAACCCTATTAACAGAAAGGGTGGCTCTACTGAGCCGAGAGCCCCGAAGCGAAGGCTTTATAGTGAAGATGGACTGATAGAGCGTAAGCTCCCAAAGCCTACGCTAACCCTTCGAGCAAAGCGCAAAATCTTCATACCACTTAATGAAGATCCTGGAAGACACTATCAATGTATACACATCGTGGATCCGGAAGGAGAAAGACCTTATTGTTTGGCACAAGACATTGCCTCAGGAGCTACTGAGAACGCATACCGGGTCGTGATGATTCGACGTAGCCCTGATAAATCCGTTTATGGCTTAGAGGATCCGAACCCGAATCTTCTCAATGTCGTGTCTGTCTTTAGTTTTCAAGGTTCTTTGTTCACTGTCTTCGATAGACCTGGCCTTCCATTGTCTGAGATTGCTGTGTCTCATTCCCCACCGCTGGGTTTAGCTCAGGTGAGAACCATAAGCGTAGAGGTAGGGCAATCGCACGTTCAATCATTCATGGAGTAATAATAGTGCAGGCAATTTCTGGTATCTGCGCTCTGTACACTGCGGGCCTTTGCTTGCCTTCAATCAGTGTAGAAGATATTACAATTTCAGAAAGTAATGGTCGAGTCAAAGTTGGTAAGTATCGAACACTTGACAGAAGGAGTTCCAACCGCTAAACAGCACGTAGCATTGGACCGAGCATCTTTGCAAGAAACAGAAGCAGTTGATAAGGCTGTTGCCTTTGGAACAATGCTAGAAAACCTAGTGTCCGTTGTTCCGGGTTCTTCAACCCTACAGCAAAGCCAGGATCTCCTTGCTTTCATCCACCACGCCGCTGAAAAATCATATCAAGAATTAAAGAGGGTAATTATATTTTGTTGAAGTTATAGTATAATACTAAAATTTTGCAGGACAGTTTTTTGAAAAACGCTTTGCCCACAGCGTCTCTAATTCCTTTTGTCTTAAATGCACAGGTCATAGTGTTCCCGGTCGAACATGTAACAGAATCTGTAATTACTGATTTGGGGACGTCGTAGACATAACAGTGAAGTAGAATTTTGATAATAAACAGATGCTCATGCATATTATGATGAAAGAAGTCACTGCTTCTTCCCAGCTGATGTTTTTCCTCGTCGAGATTTCTTTCGTCGTCCATCTTCGGTAGCAATTTCGAGAGCCTTATTTAGGCTTGCGACCTCATTCTTTCCATCTTCGACTTGTTGGGATAGAGTTTTGATCTTCTCGCGAAGCTCCATGTGATGGTACTGGAAATCCACATTTTGATCCATAACTGACCTCAACTTGGTAAACTCGTCATCCTCCGAATGCTGACTGGAAATTGCCTGCACAAGCAGAGCGTTCTTGGCTGACTCTAAAATCATCTCACTGATACTTTGACCATTATGTGAGCCCTCCACGTCGCCTCCAGCCAGACTGGCTCGAGAATTGTTCAACAGGCTTTCGGCTCGCCTAGCCACCTCATCAGCGAACGTCCGAGAGTCTGTTGCAGATCTATTGAGATCTTCTTGGACCTTCACGCAGCTCTCGTACTCCTTCAAAAGTTTGTCGTGACATTCTTGTAGCTCTATGAATTGCTGGTTAAAGAGTTCGCTTGCCTTCCGTTCCTGTTGTAATTCTTTCTCTATCGCTAAGACTTGCCGTCTTGTATTTCCTATCTCGCTTTGAGCCAATTGAAGGTGTTGATACATGCTTTGTAGCTGGCTTTGGCCATGACTATACAAGTTAGTCATGTATACCGCAACCCTGGCACAGCATGCTTGGTTGCAAGAATCCATATTTTCCTGCTATCTGAAGTCAATTATAAGCTCTTTGATGAGATAGCAGAAATACCTTTGATGATTGCATTGTTAATTCTTGATGTCGCTGTGACTGACTCATTGTAATCGACCAAAGGGAAATGCTTCTTTAAAGGTGAGAAGTACTTGGGCAAGAAACAGACTAAATACTATACTAGCAGGCGCTTTTTTCTGAGTTCTCATAATAGTAACGAGGCTGTAGAAGGACTAGTAGAGTAGCCAAGCATTTACAGTTGCGGAAGCCAAAAAGCGGGATTGCGTCAGCAAGTTACTCCACGCCAATGGTTAGGGTTCCAGACCGAACGCGCTCCTACATTGGGCCAATTTGTACTTTTCGCTGGCGCTTAATGCAACTATCTCATTGGTTTTGAGCGACACGCCCTTCTTCTAATCCGCTAGACAGGTACGGAACGGTTCGGCCGGAAGACACTGCACTAGTGTTTGGAACTTTGAATTTACAGACAGTAGGATTAGGGGCCACTAGTTGTTTCGCCGAATGTCTACCAATCATATCGATCGTGAAGTGATCCATACATAATGCCAAGCCATGTACATGGAGAGCCAAGCGAAACTCCGTTGCAACCGTGTGCGGGGTAAAGTCGCGATCGATAGGTGCTACACGACCGCAGTCAAGACCATCGTTTTACATAGAGTTGACTTCCGTTAGAGATGGTATTGCCTAGTACAGTAATGCTTTGACTAGCAAGATAAACGCCGGATACATTCGGAAGCGGTAGACCTTGTTTTTCACACTCAAGACATACTGCCGTAAACTTGTTGCTTATAGCTTCTTTGTAATTCCGTACTAGTGGCTATAAGTGCTTGCACCCTTCGCTAGGTTTCTAGCTAACATCTAATAAACATGGCTTCTAATAATCAAAATGCATTATTCTCTGAGCAACCGGCGTTATTTTCATCTTTAAACGCAACAGTGGCCACAGGGTCATCTACATTTAGTCCTCGTTTACCGCCTATCCCAGAACAGGAATGGGATTTCAATTGGGAAGAGAATGCGTTTCCGCTGTCAAGTCCCTACGAAGGCTTCGAGCAATCCACAGCTGCTATCAAGCCTGCTACCAACGACAATTCATTGCCTCAAACACACGAGGAGCTAACCGATGTGCAAACTGAGGTGCGACAGCTGCGTCGTGATATCTCAGAGCTGCATGAAATGTTCTGTAAGCGGCTAGATGATATAGAGACGAGCGTACTAGGAGCTCAACGCTATGTCAATAATTTAGTACCGTGGTCCATGGAAGTTCACGAGAAGTATTCACAACTATTAGCGATAGCAATGAAGCAGGAAGACCGAGCTGCAGACAGGGCTACATAACATGCTTAGTAGACTAGGCTTTAGAAATCTTATCTTGTGTTCCTTACTAGCTATTATTTCCGTATGCACGTTCTAATAATGATTTGCAAAAATAAATCAGTTGTACAACATCTTACTTTACAATTTACTCAGCAGGTTTATATCAGGAGAGTATCTAGCAGCAATGTAGCATAGAATAAATTAAGTAACTTCTGTTTGTTTGCGGCGTGCTTGTTCGTATCGCCTTCTTTCAATGATACTGTCATTAAGAAATCGACTATAGCCTTCGGGATCTGCTCTGTTATGCCTCAATCTCGATAACATCTGCCGCAAACGTTGGAGAGCAGATAGTATCGTCTGTTGAGCCTTCATATTTCAATGCGAGCTCAAAGGTTGAATAAGTAAACCAATAACACGGATATGCTCAGATGAAGCGTTCGATTGGATGTATGAGTGGGTATGTGTGTAAAGGTATTATATTGTCCTGTTGCTGATGTTGCTAAGAGCGAGTTTAAATACAGTACAATCAGTCAGTGAATAACCACGCCACTTTATATGGTATTTTGGGCTTACGGGTCTTTCTCGCGTATGATTCTTCTTTGGTTTAGCTGGAAGCCTCTATTTACGGAGCCATTATGCAGTGTACATGTGTATTTCATTGATCTTTTCTTACGTGAAGTTAGGGCGCCGCCTCTTGGAGATTCTAGTTGTCAAAGGCATCGCCTTTTTTCTTTTCCTGCTGGTTTTACACTGACAACGACTCATACCTATAGAGTCCGTAGCTTGATGATCTGATCTCCCAAACTCAGCGTCCAGCTGCTGGACTCTTGCGAAATGTGACATGGATTGCGGGAAACCACTGATTCTTGTTTGGTTGGATTGATCAAACTGCAGGTAGATAGATTTGCTCTGTTCTGCATGGTACACTTTGAGCTCGACGGCCTTGCAGTAATGGCCACATACAGTGCAAAGGCTGGAGTCGCCAATATGGCCCAAGCTAGTACCATCTTCCATCGTAAAGGAGGCATCTGGGTATTCCTGCAGAATTCTTTCAACTAGCGCACGCGTGTCCGGGCTACGGCAGCGGATAGAACCAAAGCATACTAGCAATGTTCTATTAGCAGTAGGCTTCTGGTGGAGTTCGAAAAAGAAAGCAGCGGCAAACAGCGCCTGCGCGATACTAGAAAAATCGTAACCATGAAGAAATGTCGCAGTCAAGTCTTCTAGATCTGGTATCTTGCTAACATCATCTAGCCTTGGCTCTGTGCTAAGCGCTATGTTAACACGGAAGTATCTGTGCCGTTCCTCGAGAGGGACACGATTCACGTGGTCCTCCCAGCTGTCTTGGGCATTCAGCATGGCGTTAAAAAGGCGGAATAGGCGCGAGAAGAAACGGTCACGAAAACCCAATCTTCTAGAGACTGTCTTTGGTGGCTCTGAATCTCGAGCAAACCCTGTACCTATCGAGACAGCTAGGTCAGGTGTATTGTTCCAGATGGCTTTCGCCTCCCACTCTGCGGGACCAATAGGATTGTTATGCTTTCCTGCACCGCCATCCTGTAAAAATCCAATACCCTGGATAAACTTTGCTGGGAAGTAGGATGGGGCAGCTGACGTAGCCCTAGCTCTGGATAAAATAAGCTTGAAAGCTAAGAGAAGGAACCATAACCTACGCATCGCATATAAGAGCCTCCTCTTTCACATGAGTAGCTCGGTAGTGTCGGTAACCTGTATTCGTCTATTAGTCTTTTATCCAAAGATGGGATGTAGCCTTTCACCTTTTCTTACTCCAACTCCATTATAGTTAGAGAGGATGCACAGTCTCGAGTTGGATACAGCCATTGTAGTAACTGCGACTTTGGGACCCGATATACCCGTATTCGATGTATTAGAGCCAAAAAGGGTAGTGTTTGATCCGAATGCTTCTTTCACGCATGCCTCCATCTCGGCAGCCCCGTAGAAGCTATCTGTAAGTAGTGAATATAGAAATCCATATGTATTCGCGAACAGGGAATTTCCAAGTATTGAACGAGGAGCGAAGACACGTTCAGACAGCTGCCTGAAGATGTCGATGCACTCGTCCAGACTCCGGCGTAAGAGGAACATGAGCACAATAAGGCCGCCTACATCTTATGATGAGTGGTGGTTCCATCTGCAGATGTCGAGATAGAGGAGAGACTTACCTGTACTTGTACCCAATGTTAAGTCAAACTCATCGTGGATGGGATAAGGAAGTTGTCGATACTTGTCGAGCGCTTGTAGTATACGTAGAGTGAGTATTCCCCGAATACCACCTCCGTCAAGAACGAGCAGGCGGCTGCCGGCAGTCGGTGGTTTTAGACGAATTGTCAGCTCGCTGTTAGAATGGCACAAAATGCATTGCAAGATACGGTATGAGTATTCCATTTGCTGCCCTTTCAGTCCAAATTTGCAAGCGCAGGAATCACAAAGCGCGTGTCCACAACGTAAGCTATGCTCAGGCTTACGGAAGATGCAATAAAGGCAGACTTGAGAGCTTTGGAGCGTTTTCCAGTCGATGGGTATATCTTGTAGATTTCTCTTGTGCATTTGCACCGCTGTAAGCTCGGCTTGCTCAAGTTTGCAGCAAAACTGGCTAAAAAACACTTTCAACTGTGTACATGAAGCTGTTGGCGAGAAGCCTTGTTCGGATGGTAGCGATGAAAAGACTCCATAACAGTGAGATTGATATAGGCACTCGAAGACCGAGGACGGTTTGAAGCCTGTTGGTTAAGATTATACCGTGACAGCTCAGCTTGGAGTACTTACGATGCATACCTGGCGGAAGACTGTCCAGCATAAGTGCAGAAGCAATGTGCTTCAAGGTAGCCTCTTTGCTTACGTGATTAGTGGTGCATAGCGCCAAAAAGTGCCGTAGATTGGCCCTAAGATCTTTTTCTATTCGATTGCGTTGCCGTGAAGCGATGATAAAGTTGAATGGTGCAGAGGCGCATGTAGCAACATGTTCTAATGCCAGCTCAAAGAAGGCATTGAGATGAGAGGCTGAGTACAGCATCTTAGACGTATCCCTACCTTTCCTTACCATTTTCACACTAGAATCGATGACCTTCTTCAATGTGAAATACCTCGAGGCAGACAGGGTTTTGCGGCTTTGTTTCGGCAGTACTACGCGCTGAATACTACTAAATATGGGCAGGCTAAAATTTCCCTTCCGCTTGTACGCGCGACTACTGACAAGGATGACCTGTGGCTTCCAGTCTTGTGACATGCTACTATGATGTCCACATCTTTGTAGGAAATGGATCCCTTCCTCAGGGGTAGAAAAATCGTCAAGAAAAATACAAATAACATCAACGAATAACGTCAATAACTTGCCAACCATGGTTTCCACAAAAGTCTCTGCTGTGGGTGCGGATAAATGCTCTGACAACCACGTGACTTTGTGAAGCAAATGTCCATTACGATTTTGTAGTGGCTTCTGCTTGCTGCAGGCTTTCTCAATATCTAGACTCGCAACTTGGAGGGGATATTCATCGTAGGATGTCGAATTGTCTGCCTGCAATTGTGCAATACCGCGTGACCCTGAATGAGTATGCCCTTGTAGCAGCGCCCGACGCGCCGCGTCTTTCTCACGCTTGCCAATCAGCAAGACTGTAGAAGGAAACTGGGCATGAGGATTGCGAAAACCAGCACTCGCTCGCCGTAAGGCGCCCCCACACGCTAGGAACCAATCAGTTCCAGTTTGAAAGCCGTATAGCCAATCTGAATAATTTTCTAGCGGCATGATTACATGATTTGAATGAAAGAAGGTATCTCTCTCAAGCGTGAAAGCCTTGTCCGTGTCGGTATAAATAAGTTTTTGAGATAAGCAGGTTCTTGCAAGACTCACTTTCAAGAGGGTGCTAGCAATGACACATTTATAAAGACGCTGAACCTAAGCTGATACCTTAGAAAAGTCAAAATATGAGTAAGAGGCTTGAAAGATTCCGATACTACCTTGGTACTGCTCAAATACGTCTACTGAATCTATGCTATAGTACATCTGGCTCGGATCCCGACGATTGTGTTGGGATCCCACTTATCGTGTTAATGTTGTCAGTCCATCCGTGGGCAGTGAGTTCTCGTCCAGCGTGAATAGACGTTTGTATCAGAGCAACCAGTCCAATCAAACTGTGAGCTTGATGATATACCTTCAAGGACATATGTAGAATATCAGCTGCTACGTTCGAGCCGGGGAGAAGAAGTATAAGATTTGTTGCAAGCATCGAAGCGGACCGGCTGCTGAGCTCTTTGGCCGCTTTTACACCCCAACCCATACAAACGCCATTGGCGCTCACATATAGTAGGGGGAACATTGCATCCTTTGCTGATATCCGCCATTTGGACATTCCAAATAGGCTAGTAGTAGAGTACACTAGATACTTGAGAATAGTATCTGTTATGAGTGCCGCAAGCCACTGAAACGCTAGACGAGTGCTAAAACATAGAATGAGGAAGGCAATAAGCACTGAGAATAGCATAGAGTACCAGATTGAGGGGCTCCATTGGCGATCCATATCTAGATGCGCCAAACGTAGGGTCTAAGCTTGCTGATATAACGTTGTGGTAGAAATGGTCAGTGCGGGCTTGTTGCGTATAAATAGCCGGCTCAGTGTCCTGCAATGTGCATTTTATCACATCATGAAGTCTAGAAGATTGGAGCAAGAGTCTTTCCGGAAACGGAAAAACAATTTCATTCGTCGTGGTCATGAAATAAGTGACCGATACAAAGTAGGGGTGTGGATATGTATTCAGAAGGACAACGGTCAGTTGTATATTTACAATTCAAGTCCAACAAGAATAGACTGGCCACCATCCTCTACACAACTTGCAGGTTATGGAATATCTTGTTACATGGGCATAGCTAATGAAAATAGGAGTCCATGTATCCGGTTCCTGTAATAAGAACTAGCAAAGATTTCCTCCCCAGGAAGCCCGCATTGCGGAAATCGCTGCTGGTCAAAACTGAGTCTTCTTTACCTGGACTTTTGTCTACGCCGCCTATTCCTGATTTTAATCAGGGGGAAGTACCCCTCGGACAGTTGCTGGAAACAGCTGAAAAGTGATGGTCATATTTAAAATATTTCATCATGATGTAACTATATAGTTGTTCTTTAAGATAGCAAGATAAATTAGTGACTATTCACCATGTCAGCTTCCGGGACGCCATGTGACTCCTATAGAAGTATTTTAAGTATATGAGGCATTGTAAACTTGCTTATATTGCTAGATAATACTGATAAATGATGTAAAGTGTCTTAATGTTAGGTGTCCCTCGAATTATTACATGATGCTCTTCAGCATGGTGCTGCAATAATTCAATTGTACCATTTCATTGAACGTGTGTTGATTTCTCTCTGCAATATATAAACAAGTTTCCCAATACAAGGAAACATTCTCAACAATCTATTGTTTATAGACATAATGCCTATCACTAGGACTAGCAAAACTAATGTCAAGGGTGAGAAGATCACCACAAACACGAACAATACGAAAGGTATGAAAAAAACGAAAAATACGAAGAGCATGAAAAGCACGATAGGACATCATGACGATAAACTTAGAAAGCTCCAAGAAGAATATGATAAACTAGAAGAGACAAGGGACCAGGGAATGTTTACCGAAGAAGACGAAGCAAAGTTGAAAGAGATAAAGACAGAGATGGGGAAGTATGCTAGTGCCACGGCCCAAATTAGCATCAACCATACTACTGGAGCTGGATCTGGATCTACTGAACCAATGGATGGTGAACCAATTGAAACTGATACGGAGTCAGGTAACACTGATCATATGACTCATGGAAAGGTAATTGCCAACGAGCCAATTGCCACGCAGCCAGATGCAGCAATTCACGCTCTAGACCCTGAGAAGAGATATGCAAGTCATCAAGAAGGTTCATCAGGACATAGTAAAATGAAACAAGAGCTTAAAGAAGAGTCAAAAACGTTTACTCAGGAACTTGTGGATAATCTCAATATGACATGGAACATCGATGTCAATGATTCTCACGGGGAGTCTTCACTGCAGCATCTCCCCAAAGGAGTGTTTGGCCACATTCAGAGAAGCTCTCGGACTCGATACTGTGTTAGATTTGGATCTAAGGAGGGTTTAAGCGCTCGTTTTGAATCAATTCTCCCGAACGGGTCTGACTATAAGGAAGAACGAGATGTCACCCAAGGTAGCAATCGCATTGTTGAGAAGATTGTGCAACATCATAGAGATGAAAAAACTGCACTTCCTATGAACATACTTAGCCAAGTAAGAATTTTGTTAGTGTACTGGGACTCCAAAATGGGCGTTGGACATGACGCCGAGGTAGAGGTACTAGCTCCCGACTTCAAAGGAAAACGACCACATACCCGCTGCTTTGTTTATCTAAATCCCGATCTCTATGCACAATATAATCTTAAAAATACATCAGGTTTCAGTCACGAAACTAGGTCAACAATGAAACTTCTGATGGAAGGAATCGATGACCGGCAAAAATCAATTGCTATTTATAACATTGCTGTCAAGATTGAAAATCAGTTTGAGAAAAGATGGATGAGCAACATTCCAGGCAGACCTACGCCACTCTGTGAGCTGAAACACGAGACGAAAGCGGTGTCCCGCCGGACTAAGTCGCTGTTTGCTACCACTGAACACTCAGTAACCCCGACGCTTATGGAACTTCCGGTTCCACAACGTCAGTTTACACCTCTACCGAAGACAGAACTAGAGAAGACCTCTGTTGAGAGAACGCCAGGAATGTCGCTAAAGCAACAGTTTCACAAAGACTTCTTGGAACTTTTTGAACTGCCGGAAGATATCACGTATGCAGGCTTGACTGAAGAGCAGCAACTTCTTTACCCTGCGCAATTCACAAAGTGGAAGAAGGTAAACAGTTAGATAAAGGCTTCAACAGAGCCCTCACTTCTAGATAGTATTAGGAAGAGTTATATTAAGGCGACTGTGCTAAAGTGTATCAAACCTTGTAGATCAAAATCTAAGCTTTTTTTTTGAATATAAACAGCTCTATAAGATGAAAATCCGCTATATTTCACTTGTTAACGTGTTTGCATTAATTACTAGAGCGTTTTGGCGGCTTCCTTGCTACTCTCGATTGGGGGTTTTTCGAATTGATCCAATCGTCTCGGAAGGGCTCCCTTCCCAACATGCACACACGCTTCATGGGGCACAGAGTACGTTAAGCATGAGATTGCGGTTTCGATGTCTAATCGTTAGTCTAGACTTAGATTTCTCGTCGTCCTATGATAGCCTTGTTCAGTCTAAGTGCACGACATGTGCAGTGCTTGAAGACATGTCTGCTTACTGGACGCCACCACTTATGTTTTTGCATACAAACGGTACTGTAGAGATTGTTCCACAAATCGGTGGTATGCTTATGTCAGTATTAAGAATAATATTTAAAAGCTAATACTGATAAATGGGCTAATTATAGTTATTATTTTCTTTTTGGAGATAGAATCACGGCATTTCCACCGGGATTTAGAATGATTGCAGCTAGAAGCAATTGGCACAGCAATTACTCTAGTAGTCCAACAAGCCGCAGATAAAGCTATTCCACAACTAAAGCTAGGGCCAAAAGCAAAGCC